ACGATTGAAAATATTTTTTGAAACATCTACTTTTCAAATTCCCAAGACAAATATTACTGTTGCCAAACTTAATGAATTTGAATTTGGAAGGTATTCATCACCCATCTGTCTGCTGTAGGAGACCCAGACTGGTTGTGGAGGAAAATCTTGACCCTATTTAAGAGCATGAATTTAGCACATATTCCCAGAGAAACGTCCTATTGAGTTTCTTTACTTTTTTTTTTTTTTCTTAAATAGGAAAATGTCAACCCTTACCTGCGCTTAAGGGTCTGACAAAGTAAATAAATCTGTAAACATGAACTATTGAAAAGATATTTCAAGTTTGTTCTTTGTCCTTTGGCAAAGAACTTTACTTTGAACTTTACACTATTCAGTTATTATCGAACCCTCAGTTGCAGAGACACTGGATTAAAGTGGAGGGAGAAGAAAAGGACCCTGATATTTTCACTTCCAATTTCTCACTGAAAGAGCCAGAAGATATAGAATATGAATAAATAAACAAACAATAGCAATCTGAAGTAGGGATGAGAATAATCTGGTAGAACGTAATTCTGGTGGGATTTCTGCAAATTTCAATGTTGATGAAGACAGCATAAGAAATACATTCTTGGACACATGGTCCAGCCTCTAAGTCTGGGGAGCCCAGGGGCCATTTCAGGTAGGTGGCCCCAAATAAGGCAGGAATATGACGTCCACTGCCGCCCTCTCCCTCTGGCAGGCTTTTCCCAATTGCCTGGACCCTGCCAGCGCTATTTCTCCCACAGCTGCCCACTTTCTATATCCAGAGGCTGCCATCTTCGTGGGGACGCGGGGGACGCTCCTCAGGGAGGGTCCGTGAACTAGGTGTGGGAGCAGGACGCTCAGCACTTGAAAGGGTCTCTCTCACCTGGAGCACACCAAGAACAGCCACAGGCTGTGTCGGAGCCTGCAGCACTGCAGGGGACCAGCAGGGGGCGGAAGAGCTCCCTCCCCTTCCACAGACCCTGCAGACAGCGCCTGCGGGTCCCGAGGGTGGGAAGGGTGGACGTGAAAACCTGCTATCCACGCTATCCTAACACAGAGGACTGGAAGTTCTCAGTGCACAGCGTGGTGGTGGCCGAGGACAATTTCCCTACACTGTCTTTGTAGGTCTGGGTAGACTTCTGTCCTCTGATGTACACTCAGGGAGAAAAACCATCACAAAGCTTTTTAAGAAAGACCGTATTGCACAATGCACGAGGGGACGGAAGCCACGGCAAGAATATAGAGAGGAAGAGCTTGCCTTTGAAAGCGATTTTCTACAGAAAATAAAAGAGAAATATAAAACATGTGGTATGTGCTCCCAACAAGACACAGACAGTATGAAAAGCAAGGTGGATGAAAAGTAGGATATGTGGAGGCAATCAAGGAAGTCATATGTTCTTTAGACCTAACAAACGCAGGCCGCCTTTCCTGCCAGGCCTGGGCCACCATTCATAGCCCTGGGCCTTTGCACACACTGTCCTTCCGCCAGCTTTGCCTGCCTTCCCGTCTAGGCCTGGCAAAGTCCCATCTCGGCACCTGCCTCAGCCCACACCCCCGGCCTGACCCCAGTGCAGCTGCTGCCGTACCCCATCACAGCTTTCTCTACACACCGGCACCATGGTCCTCACACTCCAGGACTGGAGACTTCATATAGAGTATAATAATTTACAATAGAGTAACTGAGTGCTCAGCGGCAGGGCTGATATTTCGTTTATCTCTATAGCCCCTAGCCATCAGAGTTTCTGATATACAAGTAAGACTAATAAATAAATGGGAGCACCAGGAAGATAAGAAGAGATGACAACCCCTTTTCACTACAAGGGCTTCAGTAGCTGCCCGTGGGACAAAGACACAGACGAAGGGGAATGAGGACGTGAGAAGAAGAACTGATGCCTGTCCAGAACCTCCTATGCTCAGAACATTAAAGCCCTGATTTTTGGAGCATTGACAACTTGGTCCTTCTTTTCAAAGAATTACAAGTTTATTACACATTTAGTGTATTGTCACTAACTAACCCAGTGACTTTTGGGACATGATATAACGACTCTAGACAGCAACTTTTCCTAAGAGTTTAGAGCAGCACCAGCCGCCCTCAATTTGAAAGCAGATACGCAAAGTTTATTGACAAATTGATTTGGGGAAACTTGATAGCATTCCCGCTTAGAGACAGTGTGCTTCAGTCCCCAGACCAGACTGCAAAGGCTTATTTAACCCAGAAGGTTTTGAGATTATGCCGATAACTGAACTGAGTTGCAAATAACGTAAACTAGGTGTGGTTCTGCTCCATCCCCATATAGCCAAATGGTCACTTAACCAAAATGATGGTTTCCACCTGTCTCACAGATGTGCTGGGCATAGACTGGAGTAATGCAAGAGGAACTACTTTGACAAGTGTGCTATGCTGTCAGACAATAGGGGCCACTCACAGTCTAGCAACTGTAAACTGCACATTAAACAACTGTAACGCACATTAAAATACAGTTTTGCAGAAAAGTGCATGCTCCCTTCCGTCCCAGGACTATCCCAAGGGCTCATTTTCTTTTCTTTTCTTTTTTTTATTTAGAGATGAGGGTCTTGCTGTCGCCCAGGCTGGAGTGTAGTGGCCTATCATAGCTCACTGCAGCCTCGAACTCCTGGGCTCAAGCGATCCTCCCACCTCCGCCTCCTGCATAGCTGGGATTACAGATGTGCCACCACACCTGGCTAATTTTTTATTTTTTGTAGAAATGGGGTCTCACTATGTCACCCAGGCTGGTCTTGAACTCCTGGGCTCAAGCAATCCTCTTGCTTCGGCCTCCTGAAGTGCTGGGACTGCTGGCGTGAGAGCCACCTCGTCAGGTCTCAAGGACTCATTGTTGGTGTGGCAGCAGGAGCCCAGGTTTTCTCTCTCTGTCCCGGCATCACACGGACTTTGCGACTGGGCTCTCACGTGCTTGGAGAACAAAAGTTGTCTGTGGGATGTACATTCAAGTGTCAACCCAAGTGTCCACTGATTTATGTGAGAAAATCGTTAAGGAGATATAATCAGGGCAACGGCCACATGTCAAAATATTTCAAGATGTGTGAAGAGTCTGAAGTATCAGCACTACAGTAGCACTCGAAGAATGACAACGATGAGGTCAGGGCTGAAACAGAGTTGTACAACCTCCTGCACCTTTATGTTATAGCATGATGGGAGCACCTCGCTGCCCCTCCTCAGAGGTATGGAACCCCGTATTTCTGGCGACGGCAGCCCCTGGGAGCGCATGCTTGTTGACAGTTTGTCCCGCTGTGGAGGCTGTTTTCAGGGTAGTCGGAGTCCTGCTTCATCTGAAGGTTGCATTGCCTATCACTCTGATGATATCTGTCACACTTTGCATTGGTCTGACAGCAGGTAAACTTCTGGAGTCTCCCTTGTGCTGAGTTCAGAGAAGCCAAATGCTCTAGGGAGCGTTCTTTAAATAAAAAGTGCTTCAGATAAGAATTTGTGTGATTCCAGGGCTGGCCAGCACTCACCTACTACGTCACTCCTGAGCAGAAGGGGAGGACCTCTTCCCTCCCTCACCTGAGCCAGCAGGCTGGCCCCTTCAATGCGCACGGCCCATCCTCGCTAAGGCACCGATGTCTGGCAAGCACCACCTCTTCAGTGACCTGCTGTCCCAGCAGAGGCCTGGCCTGCATGCAGAAGACTTTTCCTGAACCGCCTTCATTCCACTTTTAGCCTCCTTCCCTCTGTGCCGTGTGTTCGAGGCCTTCCTCCTTTGACCACTGGCCTGTGGCTCAATTGTTTTTCAACCTTAGTTTAGCTGTCCGCCAGACTTAATGATTGGTTACTGTGTATCAGGACATGTTGGCTTTTTGGGGTACCCTCTTTTGGGGACTGCCCATACAAATGGGCCTGGCAGAGGGGGCTTGACACTCGGAGGACACTTCTCTAGATCCCACGCTTAAATTCCTGTCCCAAGCAGGAAAGTGTCAGACATCATGTTTCACTCTGCATGGCCAGTGTGGGGAAAAGGGACCGAGCCGCCGATAGTGCACGTGGCCCTCCCTCTGCTCTCGCTGCACCTCCAGTCCTGCTGGACCCTGTGGGACAGACGAGCCAGGCTCCGGGCCCTGTGGCCTTTTCTCTTACTGGTCCCTGCCAAGGCCTCGGCCAGTCATCGTGAGCATGCTGCAGCAATGATTTACAAAACGGCAAAACGGGGTGTTTTGTTGGGGTCAGAGTCCTTTCTGAATCAGTCACATTTCATTTCAAACACTTTTGGTTTATTACATAGAAAAAAATGAATCTTTTTGACTTCGAGTAGCATGACAAAGTCCTTGCTCATTTTTGTCCTGCTTCCCCCAGTTGATCATTTTTAATTTATATGAAAAGGAAAATGCATGGCCTTTCTAAGTAGATTTCAGTCTAATGAGACATACTGAGAATGAAGTAAGAAGCATTGCAAAGATAAAAATTATGTTGCAATTTAGGAAAAGTATTGCCTAAAAGTATTAGGAAAGTATTACCATAGAGGTGAGCAAAGCCATAAAGAGACCAGAGAGTCTAGTCCTTCTAGGCCTACCATTTGTAATTCTATAACCCAAATCCATCTGAGACCATAAATTCTACTCCATCAATTTATTTACAAGCCTAAAAAGAAATTAAAACATAAGAAAATATAAATATTTAAAACCAAGAAATTAAAAAAAAATTTTTTTTAAATGTGCTCTAAAGAAAGACATAGGCACTGGTAGTAACCGTATCTCTGTTAGAAACATCTGGCTGTCTAGGGAAAGTAGTGAAGTCTGGCATTTCTTGCACAAACAGATGTCAGGACAAGGTTGACTTTGGATCTCATTCCCATCCCTAATTTGAGATGTGTCTGTCTGTCCATAATGCGTCTATCAATACATCTGCATGTGTGTGTAAGAACACGTGCACACACACAAACGCACAAACACCCAGGGACAAACTAAGACAGTGAAGAGGCACCAGAGTCAGGTGTGACCAAACAGGAAGACACGAGACTTACGGGAGCTGCCGAGTTCTTGACCGTGACGCTGGGGGTGGTAGCTCGCAGGGCTCCGCTCACTCCGTGGTAGTATTTGAAGCAGATCTTAGTTTCAGCTGAAAGATAAAAATAAAATGGACCTGAGAGGTAGAGTAAAACCTAGGAGGAGACAGCCATGGCCAGAGAGGACATCTCCAGGACCTGCACCTAATTCCTGCCCTGACCCAGCCAGGCTACACCTGGCTATGACGATCTACATGTGGCCTCATGAGCAAGTCTGACTTCTTTCTAAAAACGTGTCACAAAAATTGGTTTGGCCTTAACATTTTTGTATCTAAGTTAAATCTATTATTTAGACTTATCAGCATCCCATTAAAGGTTTTAAACCCTTAGTTCTTTTTTTTTTTTGCCTGAGTCTCACTCTGTTGCCCTGGGTAGAATGCTGTGGCATCAGCCTAGCTCACAGCAACCTCCAACTCCTGGGCTCAAGCAATCCTCCTGCCTCAGCCTCCCGAGTAGCTAGGACTACGGGTGCACACCACGACACCTGGCTAATTTTTCTACTTTTAGTAGAGAAAAGGTCTCACTCTTGCTCAGGTTAGTCTTGAACTCCTGAGCTCAAGCTATCCTTCCACCTCAGCCTCCCAGAGTGCTAGGATTATAGGTGTGAGCCACCATGCCTGGCTAAATCCTTAGTTCTAAGATTTGAGGTATTTGGATGCCTTCCACCAGTCTGTTTCTTCTGTAATTTCCTGCTATTTAATTCACTGCAATTAATATCTTGGTAATTTGAAGGAAGACTTTAAGAAGTTATTGAAATACATGGATGGATGGCATGTTTTCTGAACTCCTGCACACATCAATGATAACCTCTTTGCATCATAACTTGTTTTCCTTCAAAATTTTATAGATGGTTAAGCAGAAAAGATATAGTTTGGGGGATCACTGTGCCTGGGTTTGAAATTTAGTTCCATTATTCACAATCTGTGGGACAATGAGCAAGTCACCTAACCTCCCTGTACCCCATGCTAAAGTAGGACTTCCGATAGCAGCTACCTCATAAGATGTTGGTTAAGCAAATGAAAGTGCTTAGAGTTCAGTTCAGTGCTCAGTAAATGCTAGTGATGATGGTGATACGATGACTAAACACAGTGATGGGGCTCCACTGCTCTATGGCATTTAGTTTTGTGGAAGACGAAATCTTCAGCCAACCTGAGTTTAGTTCATTTAAAAGTGGCCTGCTTTTCCCCATTCACTGTTTATAGGATTTTTTTTCTTAAAATTTGAAAAATTTTCCAGGCTATGTTTTGGTCCCTTGTGTTTATTTATTTATTTATTTATTTATTTATTTTTTGAGACAGAGTCTTGCTTTGTTGCCTGGGCTAGAGTGAGTGCCGTGGTGCCAGCCTAGCTCACAGCAACCTCAAACTCCTGGGCTCAAGCAATCCTCCTGCTTCAGCCTCCCAAGTAGCTGGGACTACAGGCATGTGCTCCCATGCCTGGCTAATTTTTTCTATGCATATTAGTTGGCCAATTAATTTCTTTCTATTTATAGTAGAGATTGGATCTTGCTCTTGCTCAGGCTGGTTTTGAACTCCTGACCTCGAGCAATCCGCCTGCCTCGGCCTCCCAGAGTGCTAGGATTACAGGCATGAACCACTGCGCCCGGCCTGGTCCCTTGTTTTAATTTTGTTTGGAACAATATGAGAAATCTCCAATTTGAGATCCTTTTCCTCAAATATGGAAATTTGTCTTCAATTATTATATTTAAAAAATAATGTCTATAATTTTCTTACCATGCACTTAAAATATGCTCGCTATGGAAAATATGGAAAATGAAGAAACGTATAAATAAAGGGGAGGTTCAAGACTAGAGACATTGGTCACCAGATCTCCCCAGAAAGGAGAAAAAGTTGCAGGTGAACAAACATAGCCCAGGTGGAATGTTGAGGGAAGAGTGCCGGCACCTAACACAGATTCCCGGGAAGAAGCTGCGGAGCAGAACAAGAAGGAGCAAGAGTCTGGCAGAGATCCATCCCCTAGGAATCTGGAGTCTCACGGAAAGTGTAGGTAGGGGTGTTTACTTTTCCTCTCCTCACATCCACAGCAGACTGCTGGTTCCCAAACTCTCAGAGAGCCCCGGTACCCTCACGAGGCCAGGCACTGCTGCCCTTGGCTAGCTGAGAGCTGGGGGGCAGAGCACAAGGGGGCTAACCTGCCCAGAGCCACTTCCTCGGCCACAGACCTTAGCCAAGGTGCAGGCACCACGCCACTTGTGCGCCCACTGCCTGCCTCTGCCCTGCCCAGAGAGTCTCAGCTCTCCTGTCTCTATGTCACTGAATCCCACACAAACATCCCCAGAGCCCATTCGGACTGTGACAACCACAAAGGTCCGTGGGGACACAAGAGGGCTGCAAGATTCTGGGAGTTGTGACCTGTAGAATGGGCTGCCCACAGGGAATAGGAAACTGGCATGAGCACAATATCCTTGGCACAAAGGAAACCGGAGCAAGTACTCTCCTCCATCTGAGAGCCCCTGGCTTGTGATCTGAAGTTGTCTGCATCCCTCCCAGTGGAGACGCAGGTGAAGAGCAGAGTTCATAGGGTAGGAGAGTGTCCCCATTCTAGAGCACAAGCAACATCAGAGCCCAGGAAAGGATGTGGAGACGGGGCTTCTCCTACCCCCACCACCCACTGTGTGGACATAGCCATGTCTGCTCTCACAAGGGTTTGGCGTGGATGCACGCCATGAGAGATGGCCAGTCCTGGGCTTGTAGGGGTACTGCACTGCCATTAATACTGTGCTCACTGTGCCTGGGTTTGGCATGAAGGGTGCAGTTCGTTTCCCTCCTTTCGGGGAGAGGGAGTGTTTTTGTAGCTGCCCTGACCAGGGAGTCTAAGCCCTTGGGTCTCTGCATTGCTGGATCCACAGCCAAGGTTTCCCAGCACCCAATTATACTGCAGCAGCCTCAGGGGGCTGGTGGGTCCTGGGGGGGACTGTGGGATTCCTAGAGTTTGGACATAGAGGGTGGGCTGTCCCCAGGTAAAAGTTGAGTCAGCATGCCAGGGGAGCCCCTTGGCACCAAGAGGACCAGAGCACCAGCTCTCCTCCCCTCAGAATCTTCTCCTCCTCTTCCCCTCTCCCGTCCACTACTGCTGATGCAGCCATGGCTGATTTCGTGGGCGGCTGGCCTGGGTGCACCAGGGGACAATCAATCCAGGGATTTAGGAGCAGCTGTCCCCTCTGACCCTTCCTATGTGCCCACCACAACCAAGTTTGCGTGGGGCCCACACCTTCCCTTTAAGAAGCCACAGCTTCCTGCAGTGGATTATAGGCAAGCCAAAAGCTGCCTGTTTTGGCCTGAGGGAAGTTTTGCCCAGAGACCATCTGGGTGGAGATCTACAGGTCAGGTGTTTTCCTTGGCCTTCAGCTACATATGGCCTGGACAAAAGAGTGGCTATCTGAACTGAAAGGCAGGGATGGTAGTGTGACAGGGAGGGAGATAGCACATCTGCCTAGCCAGCTGGTGAAGCTGGTTCACTCCCCACCCCCGTCCTCCCACCCCTACAGAGACTGCTGTGAATCTTCCCTGCCACCCTCATCAGGGCTGGTACTTCTGCCCTTCTCCAGCGTGTCCAGTCTGGCTCCACCTTTGTATTCCCTCTCTCTCCCCCACTGGGCTGAGCAGGGAACTCAGGATGCCAGGAATCCTACAGACCAACCCACCAACCGAGGCCAAGCACACACCCATTGTGAGAGCCTCAGCCGCTCTTACACATAAGCACCACCTACTGGCCTAGTGGTTGAAATACAAGCTAGTACTTTTCAGCTACAACCAGCCTCTGAGAAAGATGCTGGACAAAGACTATTGATAACCAAAGAATAATACAAACAGAGCTTTATCTCCCTGAAAGTACCCCAAATAAAAGCTAAATGAAAAAGCATGACATACATTTCAGGCACATACACAAGGGGAGAGGATAAAAAATAATAAATAAACAAAATAAAATAAAAAAATCCACCTAAATTAAAGTAAAAATAAGAAGGAATAGCTTCTCCAGATGAGAAAGAACCAGTGTAAGAACTTTGTCCATGTGAACAGACTGTTTTGACAGCCAAGAGGATCACATTACCTCTCCAGCAATGGATCTCAATCAGAAGGAAAATGTTAAAATGACAGATGAAGAATTCAGAGCATGGATTGTAAGGAAGCTCAATAAAATCGAAGAGAAAGCTGACCAAAACAAAAAAATTAAAAAAAATCTAGAACATGAATGAAAAATGTACTAAAGAGATAGATATATTTTTAAAAAACAGAATTTCTAAAATGAAATTGATGGATGTACAAAATGCATTTAAAAGCTCATTGATGGCTTTATAAAATGCAGTTGAAAGCTCAAACAATATAATAAAATTTCAGATTTTGAAGACAGGTCTTTTGAATTAACCAAGTCAGACAAAAAAAAAAAAAGAATGAAAAGAACAAAATCTTTGAGAAATATGAGATTATGTAAAATGCCCAAACCTAATAATCATAGGTATTCCTGAGAGAGAAAAAAGAAAAACCAAAAAGTTTGGAAAACCTATTTGAGGGAATAATTGAGGAAAACTTTTCTGGTCTTGCTAGAGATTTAGACACCTAGATACAAGAAGCTCAAAGATCACCTGGGAGATTCATTGCAAAAACGACATCATCAAGGCATATAGTCATCAGTCTATCTAAAGTCAATGTGAAGGAAAGAATTCTAAGGGCAATGTCGAGACAAAAATAATATAAAAAATAATATAAAGAAGACCTAGCAGACTAACAGCTGACTTCTCAGCTAAAACTTTACAAGCCAGAAGGGATTGGGGTTCTATCTTCAGTCTTCTTAAATAGAATAATTGTCAGCCAGGAATTATGTACCATACAAAACTAAGTTTTATAAATGAAGGAGAAATAAAGTTTTTCCCAGACAAGAAAACACTGAGGGAATTTGTCACCGCTAGACTGGTTCTATAAAAAATGCTTAAAGAAATTCTAAACATTAAAAAAAGTATAAAACAAAAACTAAAACAAACAAATGGGACTTTATTAAACTAAAAAGTTTCTGCACAGCAAAAGAAAAAATCAAC